ATCAATGAATATATTATCTATCGCTGAACTAGAATTATTTTGAACTCTTGTGGGAAAGTTAACAGTACTGGAGAGATTGTAAGATGATAACAGAGAGTCTAAATTTAGTTTCCTATTACTGTCGATGAGATAGTTTATATTTATATCACCACAAATTACAAATTCAACTTTTGAACTATGTCAACTTTTGAACTATGTATGTATGTAGTTATACTTCCACTTCACCATACATCTTCATTAGGTGGTATTATATTTAAGCATGGGGATAAATTTGCCTTTTAACTCTTTTATAGTTGTCCATTCTTTCTACAATCATTTAAACGTGATAGACCTAACCACGGAATTTTATCGCAACTGCTGAATCACGACCACAAAGACCAAGAGAACTTCTACAGTAACCAACAGAATTAATACACCAACCACGCAAAAGATTTGGTCCATGTCGTCGGCTCGTAAAAAAAACGCTTCAGTAGGCTGCTTCATTCCAACCCCCCTAATGTTGAATATAAGCAATACTTACCCTTGCCCAAAAAAATAATTTCAAACACTTTCTTCTTTCTACAAACGAACACAACAAATAGAGTAACTGTAATAATCACAGCAATGCCAAGAAACTACAAAAATTATTGTGTTATCGTCAAAATATTCCAACTAATACTGCCGGTTCATGCGTCAGCCTACGCTTCACGTCCAGGGGAGTGAAACTGAGATAGGGGAAAGGGAAAACCGGTAACTACCGCCATCTACTGCCTCAATGATCTCAATGATTGACTGCAGAAATTTCACTCAGGTCTCGACCAATCAGAGGGCCTAAACAAACCAATTTGAATACCCACAATTACATGCGGTTATCGTGGTGCATTATGTGCACATGTGGTAAGTATGAATTTTGACTTGGTGTGGTTGCGAAACGAAAGTAGACATTTGCGAACGAAATTACAGCTCCATATTAAACATATTATTTTTGTATGTGAATATTATGCTTACTACCACAAATTAAATTAGAAACATAGAATTCTTTCAAGCCTAAAACTTTTGAGGTTATCGTGAACCGTCATCTAAACGATATTTGTTTTATGATATTGTAACGTGTTTCGTTACTGATCCCACTTCTGACACCAGTGTAACGTGTCTTGCGTTACCGAAGACGCCGTAGAGATGGTTAATTGGTTTATTTAACAATCTACAAATAACGGCTACAATTAATTATCTCACAGTTGCGGGGTTTCACACTTTATAACCCTAAGCGCATTAATCTGTTAACACTGTTGCGGGGTTTCACGATTTCTAACCCTATGCGCAAATCAGTTCACTCTGTCTTCAGTAGTATACACGTTGACAGTAGGGGAGCTATGTATCACTGTATCACGCGCTCCCAATTACACAATCGCACACACGTCCGGATCTTCTTACCGCGACGGCTGCTATACTCCAACTTGTAGTCGGCTGGCTGTTACTTTATAACTCGGAATGTCTTCGGCGGTAGCCACACTGGAACTCGAA